TGTAAGATTATTTCGCACTTCAGTTTAACAAAAATGCTGGTGACAAGAGTGCTTTCATCCGAAGGCGAAGTACAGCCAATCAACGAAGAAACGCTACCAGCGTCCTTGACACTATGCCACTAATTCATGGAAAGAACTATAAGAAGACTTTAGTTAGCTTTTTTTTATAAATTACTCGAAATTCCATCCACATCATCACGAAGGACCGCCAACTACAACCGTGCGTTTTACATGGCATTTAAACCGCTGAATTGAAATTTACTGTCTTGTGTTGTGGATGTTTAATGCGACGGTGATCACTTATCATCAGGTGAGCTGATACTTGTTTACCTCGGCTTCTATAAAAAATGAACATTATGTTTTTTTTTGGATAGGGTGACAAACGAGCACACAGTCCACCTGATGGTAAGTGGTTGCTGCGGCCCATAGACATCTGCATCTATCCTCGTTTGCGAATCAAAATGTAGATGCGTTGTCACCCGTGAGGACTAAGATGGAATGCCTCTTTTCCAGTAAAAAGGGGCTCCGGTTCTCTACACTCACCATACGGAACACAGCAGTGTTAAGCTGCTATTTTACGCTGGTATTCTGTGAGAGCGTGGTCCTACCCCGGTCGAGCCGACCCTTTCGTGCCACAACTATACTACTTATATAGCTGCAGTATGGCTCTACCACGTAATAATTAAATAAATAAAAAGGAAATATAGAAAAGAATTTGTACTTTTCTATATCTGCTTTTTTTATTCGTTACTCTACAGCTTTTGGAAAGAGCGCAAAGTCGTTGCGCAAAACTATACCAAAGAGCTTGACCTCATGACTTCGTGGATTAAAAAGGCGTTTCGGGATAATATCTGCAAGCAACTTTTATTTTGCTGCACTAAGTAACATTATTAGTGATTTTAAAATCGTATAGCCCACTTCTCACAAACACAAAGTACGCGAGCAAGCCGGGTTCGATCCCCGCCGGCACCAATGAATTTGTTAATTGCGGTATTCATTACTAATTTACCACCGTAAGTGGTCTGAGACATTAAAAAAAATCTAAAACATACATTGGACGCATTGGGACAGCGCGGTGGCCACTACCTTGCCCTAAAGCTCTCTCAATTGACACCAAATTTTGACAAAGAGTGGGACGTGTATAGAGGCTATAACTTGAGATTTTACTTTAAACTACATTCTTAATAAATTATTTAAATGCATTAAATAATGAATTACCATTTCATGGATTACAATTTATGGTACATTTTATAATTGAGTCTCGGGTATTTCGAGGGGTTAGTGATCGCCTTAAATTCCAAAGTACGCGAGCCACCCGGGTTCGATCCCCGTCGGAACCAAGAGATGATTAAAAACATCTTAAAGAAACAAGTATGTATGAGTAAAGTTAGGTTGCAAAGGTTATAGAACAAAAATAAACAATACTAGGTGAGCTGCTCCCTCTAGTGGATAGTATACAGACATTACAATTTCTGACTTATCTTAGTATAACGACATATTGATTAAAACATTTTAAAATATTATATTCTAACAACTTAAAAGAAATAAAAATGTCCTTACATATTGTGTAATGGCTCATTATGTGCAATTTTATTAGTAAAAAAATTATATTGTTGTGTTATTAGCTTCAAAATAAGATCCTAATATTAAAATTAAAAATTATTTTCCGTTCTTTAGAATATTGTACATCTAAGGAATCAGATTTGGTTAATGCTATTCGACACTAGATGGCGTAACCGGTCGCATTTAACTTCAGTGTAAAATGAACGCTTCAATTATTTGACTAGTACGTTCCTTTTTTTTGCAACACAGAAGTAATGCTACGAATTACTATTCATGATGCAATCAGAAAGATAGCACGCCTTTACGTCTGGAAATTTTGTCGTGATCTCTTTATGGCATTTTCTCTACTGCAAGTTACTAAAAAGTAAAAAAAAAAAGAAAAAATATTTTACATACAAAATGTGATCCATTCGATTTTCAGCTTTGGATTCTATAATATGTTAAATATATCATATAAATTATCTATTATATCCTTATATAAATAAATAAATAGTGTTGTGGCTTTAGTCGTTGAGATGAGACAATTTTCCTTTACTGTTAGTTCGATGACAACAGTTTACTCCACTAAGGGTTTGAATCTTTATAATTTTTGTTAGTGCCTCATCTTCATCAGATTTATGAATATAGTGAGCGAGAAGATTTTACAGTTGGTACCTAGTAATTTTTTACCTTTCGCAAGAATAGCTACGTTTTTTTTTTTTATAATAGGGTAGGGCAATCCATCGTAGTCTTCACTAGTGACAACGCATCTGCATTTTGATTCGCAAACGAAGATAGATGAAGATGTCTATGGGCCACAGCAACCACTTACCATCAGGTGGACTGTGTGCTCATTTGTCACCCTTATTCTATAAAAAAAATTAAGAATCAAAATGCAGATACGTTTTCACCCCTGAGGACTACGATGGATTGCCTCGTTTGAAGTAAAAAGGGTTCTCTACACTCGCCATACGAAACAACAGCATTAAGCTGCTATTTTACACTGGCATTCTGTGAGAGCGTGTTCCTTCCCCGGACGAGCCGACTCATTCGTACTACAGCCATACCATAGCAGCAGCGTGGCTGTTTAATATAATTTAAAGGATGTTTAAAATAAATAAATTAATTTCTAATAAATTTCTTATTTAAATTAATTATACTGTGGTTATTTGATGGCCATGTAGCTCGAATAACCGATAACCCATAGGGAAGAAAGGTTCTCGAGTGTCAGCCACGCCCTGTTGATCAAAGTTTAGGGCGGTCCCAACTAGATGGAGTGACGATCTGCTAAGTGAAGCAGGAAGTCGATGGATGCAGGTAGCTCAGGACCGTACTTTGTGGCGTTTCTTGGGACAGGCCTATGTTTAGCAGTGGACTTGTGAAGGGTTGAAATGATGATAAGGATGGTGATATAATGTGAATTTGAATGATGAATACATTACATTAATATACATTCCATGGTCATCATGATTGGCATCGCATCGGTAATCTTTATCTTTTGAAGACGGTTCCAGCTTCCAGATGTCTATGGGATTACAGTAGCCACTTACCATTTTAGTGGACTGTAATAAGCATGTTTTTCTTTTAAATATTTTTACACCTTATAAAAGTTACTCTAAAAATTAGATGATAACAAAAAAAAAAAAACGAGAAAGGCTTGCCTTAACTGCTACTATGTCAAGTTCAAAGCTATAAAATTTTCTGATAAATTTCTTGATCCATTTATTTTATTACTGCCACGTTGATCTTTTGGTCGTAAGCGCCACCGCTGATCAAGCGGTACCGGGCTCGAATCTCGGGTCAGGTTCAATCAGTTATCGGGCTATAACACCATTTAAATCTGTTGTCATCTAGTTCGTTTTAGTCGAGCAAGCACTAGCTTATACTAAGTAGAAAAACTTTTAAAATGAAAGAGATTTGTTACGCGGTAGAGGTAGCTCTACCGCGTAACAAATCTCTTTGCTGCTGCTATATTATAGTTGTGGCACGAATGGGTCGGGTAGACCAGGGTAGGACCAAGCTCACATATAATACTAGCGTTAAATAGGACCTAATGCTGCTAACCGGAAACGAGGCGTTCCATCGTAGTCCTCTGGGGTATATGAGTTGTCATCATCTGCATATTGATTCTTAATCGAGAATAAATGTAGATATCTATGGGCCACATTATCCACTTACCATCAGATGGACTGTGTGCTCGTTTGTCACTTTTATTCAATACAAAAAAGAAAGAATAAACATTTGTCATACTTAATAGCATCTCAGTATAAAACGACCGTTAATAATTAATTTACTTTTCTTCAATTTCAACTCATTTATATGTTGACAAGTATACAAAAAGGTTTATAGTATACAAAAAGGTTGTCAAAGAGCGAGCAAACAATTATTATAAATAGAACCGTTTAATTGAATCTTTTTTTATATTTTTTTCTTTTTACTACGTCAGTTTATTTTAATTTTGAACTAATGTTAAAATATAAGTAGCCACAGGGCAGGTACCAGTAGAAGCAGAATAACAGTGCTGTGGCAATGTTGCTGAAGCTTGTGCTGAGTCCGCGACTGTTTCGTTGTTGCAGCTCCGTTAAATTTGTTGTCTTTTGTTTTTAGCGCTGTATTGTAGCTAGATACAAATAAATATTCATTCAACCTTTCTTTCGAGATTCGTCCTAAAAGGCTGAAACCTAATTTTACAGACTGTTGACTGGATTAGTATTATGAGACGCAAGGTGCAGAGCGGATACTCTGCACTCACTTCTTTTAAAGGGTATGGAGGATCTATATAACTACAGGCTGTAACGCCTCATTTCATCGTGATCCTCAGAGGTGACACGCATCTGTGAGCTGCCGAAGTCACTTTAACATCAGGTGGGTTAAGTTTGTTTGCCACTTCAACTCGACAATTGGCGCCTTCTTGAAGAGACCTGTGTCTAGTAGAGAAATAAGGGCTATTATTGCTGAATGTGATGCGAAGTAGGGATGATTAGTGAACGGCCCGTCCACTTACATGACCGCACAAGAATAATCGCATAAGAAATATATATGCATTACATGTAGGATTACTAGAGTGAAAAAAACAAACAGAAAGTATGAAGAACATTCCGGACAATTGCTTTAAAATCTCTAATTGCGCGGCATATTGATTGCTCGCGTGCTTGTAATGAATAATGGAATCTAGCAAATTTTATCGCAACGTATAATTCTTTACGTGAAGGTCAATGCGATTGGGGCAAAAATATATAAATTATCTTATCTTTTTTCAATCATAAGGTACATGACGCAGCGCCTCATCATATCTTTTTTGTATTAAATTGTTTGGTATATAAGTCTAATACCACTTTCACTGTCCGGTTTCCAGACACAATAGTAAGACAATAGCAGTGCCCTATATGTAGTGCACGGGACAGCGAAAGGGTTAAATGTAGTTCGTTTTCAAAACACACAAGTTGCTTGCAATAAAAATGAGCTTTGAAAACAAAGTCGTAATAGTAACGGGCTCCAGCTCCGGTATCGGTGCATCTACAGCAATCGAGTTTGCTAAAGAAGGTGCACATGTGGTTTTAGTTGGAAGGAACGAAGCAAAACTTAAAAATGTTTCCCAGCAGTGCGAGAAGGTTGGCAAGAAACCTCTCATTGTCAAAGCCGATGTGTCAAACGACGATGATGCTAAAATTATAATAAATAAAACCATCGAAAACTTTGGGAAGCTAGATGTACTTGTCAATAATGCTGGTATGGGTGTAGCCCATGATATTCTGAAGGATGATTTCATGAAGACGTACGACCGTATAATGATTACTAATTTGAGAGCACCCGTCTATATAACACACTTAGCAAGTCCTTACCTTATTAAATCAAAAGGAAATATCATTAATGTATCAAGCATAGCCGGAATTTCTACTCTGGAATTAGAAGATTCAATCCCATATAGTATTTCAAAAGCTGGACTTAGTCATTTCTCACGGAATATTGCTCTTAAATTAGCACCGTATGGTATACGTGTCAATGTTGTTAGCCCTGGGCCTGTGTACACTGATATTTTAGCTAATTCCTCATTTGATGAAGCTTTGTTTGAACAGTTTAAACTTCGTACAGCGCTTAAACGGGTGAGTGAGCCTAAAGAAATTGCTGATTTGATACTTTTCTTAGCCAGCGACAAAGCTAAAGGCATCACTGGTTCTGATTTTGTTTCGGATAACGGTAGGTTATTAATGTAATTGCTGCAATAAAAAGAAAAATCTTTAAAAATGTTTAGTTCTATGCAAACATATTGCAGCAAGTAAAGTAAAGTGGTAAACTTACCTGTATGAAATTTTCAGAGAAAATAAAAACTAAATGCCAACAGTTTTTTATTTTACCTCGCATTTATTTTTAAAATGGTAGAAAAAGTCTATATATAGTGGATCACAAAACGTGTTGATGTTTATATGTGTACTTCCGATTTTAATAATGTTTTTTTTTTTAACTAAATATGTCATAATTTATGGGTGGTCCCGCATAACGGAGACAATTATTTTGGGCCCACTACCAATGGTAATGTTAATTATGCGTTTCACATAAAAAGAAAACAATTACTTATATTACACGGGTTAAATATTATATGAACGTCTAACCGAAATTATGAAATCTTAATAAAATTTGAATGAGTTCATGAACCTGTTCCGGTCAACGTGTAAAGTGAAAAAAATGCGGTGTGATAGAGAGAAAAAAGAGAGAAATATCATTGAAAACTAGTTGTTAATCCTATTTTATAAATAGGTTAGTTAATATCGTATAGTATTAAATATTAAAGTTATAGTAAGTTAAAGATGTTAAAGTGATGTTGAAGTGTAACATTGTTAATGCGCAAATTTGTCATGGGTTTAATATAGTTCCGATATACGATATCAAAACATAATATCGATACTGTACGCGATACCAGTATCATTGAATTCCAAGTAATTGTTGTAATTAAATTAAAAAAAAATTTAAAATAAAATCTATTTACTGAAATTAATATGTATTTACTAAATACATATTATTTTAAATGAATTACATGATCTCAACCATGTAAAATTCTAATAATTTTCTTCATTATATGCGTTAAGAAATAATTTATTTAAAACAATAATTAATTAGTCCGTACATCACTTTCTTCCCTAAGGTCTAACAAAAGCATCTAAGACTATTGTAAGATTATAATCTGAGTAGTGATGTTAATTCTTCATCATCAGTCCGTAAAAGTCATTAGACTCTCCCATCGTAGGGAGAATCTGTTTCATCGCTGATGTCTTTGACGCTGCTGCCCGTCGCCGGTCTGGGAATTTCATGTGTGATGTAAGCAAGCGGCTTATATCGCCATCTATCCGAATAGACGACTATGGCAAATGCCAGAAATATTCATCAGATTTTTCTGTAATTAGTCCCCTTTTACGACACTCATGGGGCAAAATGGTAAAAAAGATTCTCTAACTAGATAATACACATAATTGGAATATTTATCGCCACCTCACGGTAAAATATTAATAATTTTAATAGTTTACTAGCGATCCGCCACGGCTTCGGTTGATTTCTGGATCTCAACAACAGCGTCACCTACCGGCTCCAATTGTGAACCATCCTCTAGTCAACTTAATCACACATAATTTCAACAAAATCAATCCAGCCATTTATAAGGAGATAAAAACTTAACCCAAATAAATGTCAATTTTTAAAAAAAAGAATTATTATACTTGGGACATACAGTATCTGCAAATGGAATTTCGCCCGACCCGGAAAAAATAAAAGTAGTTCAGGAATACCCAATACCCACCAATTCTGACGAAGTCAGACGCTTCGTCGCATTTTGTAATTATTATAGGAAATTTATAAATAATTTTGCCAAAATAACACTATCTTTGAATCAACTCTGCCGTAAAGGCGTAACCTTCGAATGGTCACAAAATTGTGAAGATTCTTTTCAAATTTTAAAATAAGCTCTAACATCAGCACCTATTTTTACAATACCCGGACTTTATGGACAGCAACGAATTCATTTTGCAAACAGACGCCTCAGGTTTCGCAGTTGCGGCGGTTTTATGCAACAAAGATTTAAGACCCATTGCATATTTTTTTTATAGGATGAGGGTGACAAACGAGCACACAGTCCACCTGATGGTAAGTGGTTGGCTGCGGCCCATAGACATCTACATCTATCCTCTACTACAAATCAAAATGTAGATGCGTTGTCACCCGTGAGGACTAAGATGGAATGCCTCATTTCCAGTAAAAAGGGCCTCCGGCCACCTGCACTCACCAAGCGAAACGCAGAGGTAAACCGCTACTTCACGCTGGTTTTCTGTGAGGTCGTGGTACCACCCCGGTTCGAGCCGGCCCATTCGTGCGACAGCAAAAGCTGCCGCGTAGCTCTACCACAAACAAATAGACAGATGAATTATATAATGTATAATATGCATGTATTATACATAGAAATCTTGATTATACTATGTAGAGAAACTGCAGAAACGCATATTATTTTTGGTCATCTTCCATAGGTACAAGTTATTATAATAATATTATTTTATCCTAAATGAAACCAGTGAAAATTGAATCATATAACTAGTACTAAGTCAAATATTGATGTATGTAAATCCACAATAACAACTTTTTTACTTGATTAGAGCAGGCATATGGCGTTTAACACACAGGCAGAGATAATAATATGATAACAGAAATATGAAGATAAAGCTTGCACATTGAAGACAGCAGTCTTATCTCTTATCACTTCTGGTTCTATCATTCATTTACAATCAGACATGATTTTTTGCTTTAATGGTATTAGAAATACAATAAATGCTATATATAACACTGCTAATAACATCAACTATCTGCCTGTGAAAGTCCCGTCAAAATCAGTCCAGCCATTTCGGAGTTTAGCCGGAAGAAACATACAGACAGACAGATAGACAAATAGACAATTTTATTTAAATCGTGTTTTATTTTTAAGTACCGTATATACTTTCATACGCATTTAGTAAAAATCCCTTAGTTTGACATTACAAACAGAAACTTCAATTTTATTTATTTGTATAGAGTATATACGTAAACGAAAGGCTTATACCGCCATCTACCCGAATAGGCGACTATGAAATGCCAGAAATATTCATCAGATTTTCCTATCATTTGTCGCCTCTTACGACACACATGATACGAAATGAGGGGATGGATTTTCTGACTAGATAATACACTCAATAGGAATGTTCGTCGACACCTCATGGTAAAATGATATTAATAATTTTTATAGTCGCGACTCTGCGGAAACGAATATTATTTTGTCATCTACTACCAGATACATAATTTTTAAAATAATAGTTTTTGTCCTAAATGAAACCAGTGAAAGTTAAGACATATAACTTATAAATGCATAATAACAACTTTTTTACTTGATTACAACTGACTTATGGTGTATTTTTATTTAACACACAGCCAGAGATAATAAAATGGTAACATATATATGGAGGTACAGTTTGGATATTGAAGAGAGCACTCTTATCTCTTATTACTTTTAATTGAAAATGTCCTTCTTGAATGGATGGTGTTAGAAATCTAAATTACAGAGAGACTTGCAGAGCTGACAGTAGCCAGAGGCAAAAAAAATGATAACAGAAATATGAAAATACATATTTATATGGATATTGAAGACAAATTATTATCTCATATCACTTTTAATTGAAAATATCCTACCGATTCCTAAAAATATTATCACAAAAAGACATGTTATCATAAAGTGTTTTTGGGGTTAATAGTGGAAATATAAACAATGTCACCACACTGTGCTTGTTTGTCTGTGCTGCTTATAAGAAAAGACTTTTAAAATTATGATGATTAACAATTATAAATACAACTAATATTTTGTAATTAATATTTTTTTGTTATCCTTACACAACTAGCTTATATATCTTACTTCCTCACTATTTATCAGTGTGCAATATCACAGATAATCATGTTATTACGTAGTCATTTTGGCTATAAGTACTTAATTGTGCAAGTATACACTTATTGATGAAACGGTACATTTTAAAACAAACTGCACACACTATACGTGGTAGAGCCATGCTGCAGCTATATTAGTAGTATAGTTGTAGCACGAATGGGTCGGCTCGACCGGGGAAGAACCACACTCTCACAGAATACCAGCGTAAAATAGCAGCTTAATGCTACTGTGTTTCTGGTCTAAGAGCTGGCTACGAAAACGTGAACTGATAATGTGTAGTAACGAATTATATAAATAACCTCTCCTTGGTAGCTTATAAGTTCAGAGCGAGGCCCGTCAGAACTCTCTCCCGGGGCGGAAGGCGTGGGTGGGCGGTCAAAGTCGTAAATTTTCAATAAGAAAAAAAATGATTAGGTGCAGTTCTGAAATTTGGTAAAGTTATAGTTTTTAACTGTAGGAATCTAGGAAAATTGCAATTTACAATTATATTGGTGCAAATGGGGATCGGGCGGCTCCGATCAGAATAAAAATAAGTTTAGATTGATAGAAGAGGAAATAAAAATAAATTTAGTTTCATGAAATTTGCAACATTCGCGACAATGAGGCCTATTTAAAAAAAAATAGGTGACAAACAAGCACATAGTCGACTTGAAGGTAAATACACTTACCTTCTATATTCTATTATATTTATACATATTTTACAGCGTATGCTGTGGCCTATAGACATCATTATCTACCCTTGCATTCACATCTTACCTTGAGGACCAACATGCAGATAAGTTGTCACCCCTGAGGACTAAGATGGACGTTTAGTTTGCAGTAAAAAGGATCTCCAGTTCTCTACACTCCCCATACGAAACACAACAGCATCAAACTGCTATTTCATGCTAGTATTCTAGAGAGCTAAGAGCCCTCAAGAGCGTGGTCACTCTGTGGTAGAGCCGATCAATTCGTGCTAAAACCATTATAGCTACAGCATGGTTCTAACACGTAAAAAAGGCATACCATTTTAGTATTCAGTGGCGACATATAATTCACCACTGAGAACTAATTGGTAATTAAGGGGATAGATAGAGGCTACTGCCCACAAAATCTACTTCCTATCAGAAAACCTGTTTGCTCATTTGTCAACATTTATAGCATAGAAAAATGTTTTAATTTTTTTTTTAATTAAATAATTTATCCAATCACAAAACTAAGGTCGATAGAACAGGAATTGCTGAATTGAGATGATTAAAATTTTGATATTAGAGTTGCCGTGTTTCTGAGCGATAACTGTAAAACAATTTTTAATAGTATGAAAGGCAAGGATGTATGAGTCTCGTTCAATATTAGATCCTTAATCGGCTTCATTTTTGTTAAGAAACTTTATTTTATGATAATAAGCAAAAAGTAACATTGTTGTGAATTTAATCGCAACAGTCGAAGGTCAATGTGATTTCGGTATAATTATCTACGTGATCTTATCTTTTTTTCAATTATTAGCTCTAATCAGGTGAAATATTTTTTATAAGATTCCATAACTACATAAACTTATCTTTTTTTTAAATAGTTTGGTATATAAGTCCAAAAACTAAGTCAATTTTTAGTGTAGTTCGTTTCCAATACACACAAATCGCTTGCAATAAAAATGAGTTTTGAAAATAAAGTCGTTATAGTAACGGGCTCCAGCTCCGGTATCGGTGCATCTACAGCAATCGAGTTTGCTAAAGAAGGTGCACAAGTGGTTTTAGTTGGAAGGAACGAAGCAAAACTTAAAAACGTTTTGGAACAGTGCGAGAAGGTTGGTAAGAAACCTCTCGTTGTCAAAGCCGATGTGTCAAACGACGATGATGCTAGAATAATAATAAATAAAACCATCGAACATTTTGAGAAGCTAGATGTACTTGTCAATAATGCTGGTACGGATGAGGAACACGATATTCTGAAGGATGATTTTATGGAATCGCACGACCGTATAATGAACATTAATTTGAGAGCACCCGTGTATATAACACACTTAGCAATACCTTACCTTATTAAATCAAAAGGAAATATTATTAATGTAGCCAGCGTAGTCGGAATCGTTACTGGGGGATTTGAAGATTCAACTTCTTATTGTATTTCAAAAGCTGGAATTAGCCATTTCTCACGGAGTGTTGCTCTTAAATTAGCACCGTATGGTATACGTGTCAATATTGTTAGCCCTGGGCCAGTGTACACTGATATTTTAAATCATTCCTCACAGAAAGATGTTATGTATGAACAGTTCAAACTTGCAACAGCGCTTAAACGGGTGAGTGAGCCTAAGGAAATTGCCGATTTGATACTTTTCTTAGCCAGTGACAAAGCCAAAGGCATCACTGGTTCTAATTTTGTTGCGGATAACGGTATATTGGTAAAATAATTGCTGCAATAAATACTGTTCAAAAGTTATTAGCTCTATGCAAAAATTTTCCAGTAAGTTAAGTAGTAAATGTATCTTATATGAAATTTTCGGAGATAATAAAATCTTAATGCCCACAAAGTATTTTATTTTATGTCCTATTTATTTATAAATGGTAGAAAATGACTATAATGTGGGTCACAGAGTGGTGATATTCGTATATGTACTTTTTCTGGGTGTGCGTGTGTGTGTGTGTGTGTGTGTGTGTGTGTGCATAACGTATATACTTAATAATGTACACTTTGACACGAATTGTAAAATTATATTCTGATAAAAATTTGATGTTTAAATGGAAAATATAGAACCGACAATGAAGCAGGCGCCGTACTAATCTTATGGGAGCTCCGAAGAAAATCGGAGCGTTGCTGCAGTTATGTCTTAGTACAGAGTTATTTTTCAAAGAGTAGTCGAATTTTAAACTTAAGCTCAAATATATAAACAATTATATACCGTTATTGCAGTTATAGAAAATACGAGTAAATAAGGCTTCTACTTTTATTTAAAATTATCCCAAATTGAATGAGATTTATGGGCAACAAGTACGCGTAGGCGCGCTCTTCTGTGTGCGATTCAATTCATAACATTTTTGCCGACCGATCGACCGTTACGAAAGTGTGCGTGCGTAGTAAAATAGATATTGATGAATGACAATCAGTTAAAATAATGCATTACCACACATCTTGAATTTAAAAGGTAATAGAACAGAATGCTTGAGATTTTTTAAATTAATTTTACTATGCCTATATTACTTATTCTGAACTTTGCAAAATAACCCTATATAAAAGTTGGATTTTTTCAACCATAAGTAAGATATTAAATAGACCATTCTCTCATCTAATGGTAAGTGGTAATACAATACACATCAGTATAGACTAAATAAGGATGAAGAATGAATAATGAATTTATGACATCACATCACTTACGGAAATATTTTTTGTTTAAGTACATTAAACTTATATTGTAAGTTATCTAGTTACGTCAAAGTCGTATTATGTAAGTGTATTGATGTCAATAAAACTTATGCTTATGTCTAACTAAGGACTATCTACTATCAGACTCATTACAGCAATTTCCCAGTGGGTATTTAGTAAGTACTTAGTTAAAGCAATGTATTAATTTTACAACATTACAATCGTCGTTGTTTTGTTCACTTCGAATACATATATATATATACAATAGCATTATATATTATTGTATGATATACCATCGATTGCATTATATATGTCCGCAGTTACTGTTTTAGCCGACTTCAAAAAGCGGGGAAGTTCTTAATTCGACTGCAATTTTTTTTATGTATGAGTTTATGTGTGGGTGTATGCGTAGATTAGCGTGCGGAGGCGGAATGTAACGACTGTTCTCTATTGAGCCATAAGCGCAACTGTTTATTGTAATATCAGCATTAAGCATGTCCCTTAGATATGTTACCAGATATTTTCGTTAATTGTGAACCGATTTTAATTTTTTTAACTACATAGGCCATATAGCTCGAAGAACCGACAACCGATGGGGCAGAAAGGTTCTTGAGTGGCAGCCTTGTACTGGTAGGCGAAGTGTAGGGCGACCCCCCACGAGATGGAGTGTCGACCTGGTAAGACATGCAGGAAGTTGATGTTATTAGGCCTATGTTCAGCAGTGAACTTATGAAAGGCTGTAATGATGATGATGATGATGACATAGGTTGTACTTCAAGGGTTGTCCTGAATAAATTTGAAAAAAGATCCATCCATAAGGGTGGAAAAATGGGGAATGAAATTTTTAATATAACCATTTAGACGACACTTGAAACGCTACCTTGAGCTTGTGACCTCAAAAGGGTCTAAAATTAAACTTAAAAAAAGTAAAAATCTAACAAAAGCAAGAACAAAGTGTCGTATCAGAAGAATAAAGCTCCGACTTTCAAAGTTTGAATTGCAACTAGCAATTTTATTGGTGCAGGCGGGAACTGAACCCTGAGTTGCCGGCGTAATGTTAAATTTACGGCGAGCGCTTAGATAAAAATAAGTTTTAAGCTTATTATATAAGAATAAGCTAACATAAAATCTGTAAGTTGCCCATAGACATCTACATCTATCCACGATTAAGAATAAAAATGCAGATGCGTGGCCACCCCTGAGGACTGAGATAGAATGTCTCGTTTTCAGTAAAAAAAGGTCTTCGGTTCTCTACACTCACTATACGAAACACAACAGCATTGAGCTGCTTTTTGCATTTTGAGTGTGATCCTTCCCCGGTCAAGCCGACTTAATCATTCTATAACCATAATAAATCTGCAGCATGGCTATAGCACGTATAAAAAGCATTCCATTTTATCCCTCAGTGGTGACAACGCATCTGCAAATATTTAGCTAATCGAGAGAGGATAGATGTAGGTATTTATGAAACACAGAATTCACTTCCCATCAGAGCCTGTTTGCGCGTTTGTCAAATTCAAATTTATTTATTGGTGAATACAGGTACAGGATAGAATAGAATAGATCGAATAGATCTTTAAAAAAATATATTTTCGCTGCATTCAATCCTTAGGCATATTATAATTACAATTAAATCTCTGCAATTACATTATCTGCAATTATATTACACATCTCATTTCTGCAATTTCATTATTTCATTATAATATTTATATTATAATTATACTATAATGCTTAACAATGATGTAATTTAATTATATATTTATAAGAATAGGATATTATGATATTTACAATACATATACAGTCTAATCGAATGCAAACAAATGATATATTATGCAATGTCATTATAATATGCCTACTGATGCGTCGCCTAAATATTCATTGAGTGGTAGCATTTCTCAATTAGAAATTTTTTAATTTTTTTTTTAATTTTATGAATATTTTCCATTTCACGAAATAAAGATGGAACTTCCTTGAATATTTTAGATAGGATACCGAAAACGCTTTTTCTAAGTAACACTGTCTTTGATGACATTGTATGAATTTTATTTTTGCGTCGATTGTTTATTATTTAGTAATCATTAAATATTTCTGGATTAGTTATTTGTTTGTCAACCTTTATTGCATAGAAAAATGTTTTAAGTAAATTCAGGTAAAATTATTTATCCAATTACGAAACCAAGGCGCTTGCGGTCGATCGAACAGGAATTGCTTATATCCGAACATAAATCACTTTTTTATTACACTTTGAGAATTTAGCCGAATTCGGTCGCGGGATATTAATCGTTAGAATATTAAACCGACCGTTTAATAGCGCCGGCTCCATTGGATGTTATAATTCTTAAGAAAATTCGTTCTGGTGGGATTATTAAACGATATTTAAAGACCACCTGATGGTAAGTGGCTACTGCATATTTGTAACATATCTGAAATAAAGAAATTTAATAATGAAGCGTCGTACGTTGTAACTTCTGAAGAATAAGATGTATTCAATTATACTGGCCCTCTATACATTTTAGACCAGAAAACTGCATTGCACGGACTACTGTTTGGCGGTAGAAATAGATATAAGGATGGTATCATCTGCATCTCCTGGTTTGTTTCCTACAGTCGTCTCTAACTAATTAACTCTTAAACCTTGACTGAGTGAGAAAAGGCAGGCAGTGGCAGTAAAGGAGTCCTATCACCTAGTAAAAAAACCGGCCAAGTGCAAGTCAGACTCGCGCATGAAGGGTTCCGTACCATCGTACAAGTTTTAATACTACTCGTATGTAGGTAAAAACACGTTTCTAGTGGGGGAGCCCTATATATAATTATATAATTATTTTTATTTTTTGTTATATATTCTGTGAAAATTTCAACTGCCTCCTATGACGGATTATGAGACTGACAGACGGACGGACGGACGGACGGACATCGGAAGCTTAGTAATAGGGTCACGTTGGTTACCCTTCGGATACGGAACCCTAAAATGGGACATTACTTAATAACGCAATTTTTTTTTTATAGAAATAGGGTGACAAACGAGTACACAGTCCACCTGATCGTAAGTGGTTGCTGTGGCCCATATACATCTACATCTATCCTCGTTTGCGAATCAAAATGCAGATGTGTTGTCAGCCTTGAGGACTAAGATGGAATGCCTCTTTTCCAGTAAAAAGGGTCTCCGGTTCTCTACACTCACCATACGAAACACAGCAGCATTAAGCTGCTATTTTAAGCTGGTATTTTGTAAGAACGTGGTCCATCACCGGTCGAGTCGACCCATTCGTGCTACAACTATGCTATAAATATAGTTGCAGCATGGCTCTACCACGTAAAAATTATTATTTCATCATTAGAAGAAAGAACCAAAGTAGTGATGTACATTATGTAAATACAAGCTAGTTATATCAGTTACTCGATTTCAAAAAGTCAGTAATTGCTTCATGGGGCAAAGGGCTATTATTATATGGGGTATCTAGAAAGTTTTCTCATCTGGTTGGGCAGTATAAATATACAATTGTAAATGAACATGGTAAACATACATAAATATCAATAAAATAAAATAAATACATAAAATATGTATTATTATATGTGTTATTATATGTATATATATGTGGGATATATTACTATTATTTATATTATTGTATTATTTAATACAATAAAATACCCCAAAGTACGCAAGACCTATCTATTAAATTTAAATTTTTTATCAAGCGAAGATTGTTTAATAAGTGTTATACTATGAGGGTGACACTGAAAGTTATTAGAAAATTAAAAACTGAACAAACTAGCAAGTTATTTGTCTTATTATATCTTTTCAAAATTGTCATACATCGCTGCATCTGATGGAACCACTGAGAAAAGTACTTTGCCCACTTGTCCTTAGGGGTCTCTTCGACGGCATTTTGAAACGCAGCCACTGCTTCCTCCTGTCCATAAAACGATTTCCTCGAAGCTTTTCTTTTATTTTCGGAAATCAATAAAAATCGCAAGGGGCGAGGTCGGGGCTACAGGGCGCGTGACCCAGTAATTCCACGTCATCTTCTGTCGTTCTGACGTCGCCAAGTA